GAGAGTCAAGGGTGGGAAGGGAGGAGGAGGAGAATGCAAGTATTGGCACAGTTGGTGTGAAGCCTTCAAAGAGTGAGTAGATGTGACCTCATTTGTATTGACTTCTCTCCTTTTCATGACTGTAGCTTTAAGTATGTTTAAATACCTGTATGTTTAAAACCAACCAATGATGGAGAGAGGGGAGGGGAGGGTAATGTCAGCCTCAGGTTTGTTAGTCAGATGCTGACTATTTTGAGCTACCAGTGTAAAATATGACTTCACACTTTACCTATACCCTTACTGACCTTTATTGTCAGAACAAGTGGAGAGCTACACAGTGCATGTAAGCTCTAATTAAACTGATTGATTTTCCTGAAGGTTGTGCTCTAGGAAAAACTGAATCATACAATCCAGAGTGTCCAGTGATTATTTTTTGTACAAATAGTAAGATTTACTTACCAACCAAAATCAAAAGATTGTTCTTCCCCCAAAATACACCCTTTTCCTAGTATTTCAACAATTTTGTTGCCGATTGTAAGTCATAAGGGTCAGAATCCTGACAAAAGGCTATAACCTGACAGGTTGAGATTCTAGATCAAACTGAAAATGGATTTTCCCTATAGATCAAGCAATATTTGCTTCAACATGCTCACTGATCATTAATACAGTGTCCTTTGTCGAATATGAATCACAGTAAGCCAATAATTAACGTGGTTTTGCCTTACTGGTTACAGGGTTTTGTCAACTAATTTATATTTGAAGTAAAATAACTACTTTTGAGAGGCCATCTGGCCAAATAAATGTCAGTGATAAGCATTTCCGGGCTGATATGATTTGATGACCCCTGTATTACACACAACCACTAGTGAAAGTAAAACGTACATCAATTACTTGATGCACTATTATTATTTTAGTTTCCAAGTACATAATTAATAATCCTTACTTAGCACAGACATCCTTGATAATTTCCTCCAGTGGTAGACTCTATATGAAGAAAAAAACTTAACTTAGGACATAATTTTTGTCCAGTAACAGTTACTATGATGTGCATAAAAGAGTTATTGAACTGAAACATCAATAGCAATCGTATAATCACTCGTGTAACTCGAATCCAGGATAGCAATTTATTACAACTTACCTGGTCAAATCTAGTCAGCAACGGAAGTTGGCCTTCCTTTTCGATGGCAAGCTTTACCTGACCAGGGTCAACGACCGACATTATCGAAGACAGCCTTCTTTATCCGCAATAAAACTTTTCGGACGTTAACGTTCTCTTCCTGTGTATGAGGCTGGCGCAATTGCAAAGCAACAATTCGACACAACCCTCCAAAACAACCATTAAAGGTCAGAGAAACCTCTTGAAGAATGTGCTCGATTTCTCTACAATAATTCCAGCTTAATGCTCTATGATATAGCTTTTCCAACAAAGCATATTTTCAGGTAACGTTAAAGTGATGTCAAAAACAGCACACGGCTAAATTGACAAAGTAATCCCGCTTCGATTGTAGATAAAATGCGAACATAACACAAGCTACTTCCGACAGAGAGATGAAGTGACTCCCCAAAGCGACAAAAATACACTATCCCTCCCCCACTAAAGAAATTCTTCTAGTCGTTTCTTTTAGAAAATTCTGCTGCAAGTTAACTTTTTCAGTGAAAGAATAAGGTTCTTTGGGTCTTTTTTGAATAAATTTACTAACTGTTCAGGAAATTTTTGAACAAGTTTCTTAAAAAAGATATATTTTTTCAGCTATTTCCTGTAGGGTGGGGAAGTAATAATCGCAGATTAATTCCCGTGAGCCTTTGTTGCTACAATTTAAATATGGCGGCAGATTTGCACAGCGGAACAAGATCCGTAAATTCTCCGAGAAAATTTGAAGTGGAAACGAAATTCCTAGTGCCGCCTGACTTTAAGCAAACCCTCAAAACAAATGGAGCATGGTTAAAACGAGAGATAGAATTTACTGATGTCTACTTTGATACTCCAAACAACGAACTAACTTTTGCTGGTTTCTGGTTGAGGAAACGCGATCAAAAATTCGAACTGAAAATTCAGAAACTGAAAGACTTCCAGGACGGGATCGAAAACTACACTGAAATTGAAGATGAAAGGGAAATTGTCAGCCAACTTTCTAGGCTGTTGAAAGCTTGTTTTGCAAACACAGACAGAGACTGCACTATTGAAGATTTCATTCAAAGAACTTGTTGTAAACCGATTGCGTCTTTTTCGACGGTTAGAACGAGTTACGAAATGTCAAATGGTGTAATGGTTGACTTAGATCAAGCTAGTTTTGGCTATCAGGTCGGGGAAATAGAGATCCTTGTTTCAAGCTTTGAAGAAGTTGCTGTTGCTAAGGAAACTATCCGGAAAACTGCAAAACTTCTCGGTATGCATTTTGCAAACTAACCTAAGCTTATTGCTGGTTTGGACGTGACGTCACGGCAGCCATGTTGGATGTCAAGAACAAAAGCATTTCTCTCCTCTGGGAACTTAACTCTATTTTCTCGTAAATTCTTCAAGAAAAAATTTTATTGTATTGTCATCCAACATGGCCGCCTTGCCATGTGGTTGCAAACCAAGGATTGTTAAAATTATTGTTGTGCTTAAAGAAACAGTTAGCCTGAGAAAACAGACAAAATTTCGCGACACCACCACTGGTTTTCCTGCAAAGTGACGTCTGAGGAACAATTGTGGAAATTACTAATGATGTGTCACCACCAAGATCTGGGTAAGGTCAAGCCATGAGGGAAATTTGCTTCTGCCAATTAGCGGCACTACCCCGGCCATATCCATGTTTTAATATTTTGAATTGAAAAGATACCCCATATTAACAATAACTGAATGCTAATTCTAGTGTATTTGTGTGACTACAAAAAATGTTCACAATAATGTCACAAATTATAGTGAGTTTATGCAACAGGAGAGTAGAATGAAGAGGACGGTAAGATGTTAGCGTGTGACAAACATGACAGCACTTTTACTTGTGAGTTCTGCCATGAGTTTCACTTAACAAAACTGTGTTCTGTTTTTTACAAAATGATCTAATGATCTGTTTAAAGGAAGGTGAAGTTCAGTAGAAAATGTTTTCCAATTTTCTCACACTAGGTTTGTCTTCTTCTTTCTTCTGTCATCCTTTTGCATAAGGTCACTAATATTGATATTGTCATCTGGGAGCAAAGAAAGTCAGTTGTACAGCTTACCATTCGGGCAAGCTTTATTTAGCATGCACTAGCCTAAAAGTCATTTTAACTAGCCCGATGATGAGCAGGGTTGATAACAGTTCTTTTGTGATTAGAATTCCTTAAAAATTTCACTTGCCTGGTGGGCAAGTTAAGAACAGAATTCACTTGCCCGATATTAAAATCCACAAGCCCCGGGCTATCGGACATGACTTTCTTTGCACATTGGTCGCGATTGCATACATTAATGGTGGTTTCCTTTTTCAGGTGTTGAAAGTGAAACTGCTATTCCTGGTAAAATTGAGGCAGATCTTTGTCAGCATTGTAGAAGTCATTATGAACAGCTTGTTGGAAATGGATGTTTTATCAATGGGGAGGCTTTAAACAAGTCTGGCTAAAACTGATGATAGGTTGTATCATATAGCTGATATTTAACCATGCTCATTTGTGTAAAATGTATAATATGTAGATATTATATTTGGTAGAACAGGAAATAAAGATGATTTTATTGTTTATTGAAGAGAATTTGCATAGTAAATGTGGTTGTTTTGACAAAAGAAAGGGCGCTCTCTGATTGATTTTTTTCATATTTTCATAAAAATGGGTTGGTCGGGTGATGTAAAACAAATCACTTTGTTGGTTGTGTGTTCTCACTGCATACAGGTTGCTGACTCTCTAAGACAGATACTGTTGGGACCTGCTTTAAGCATCAGTCTCAGAAAGGTGTCCATTTCACTCACATTGGCAGCACCTATGCAAATTTCTTGGAAAAAAGAAACTTTTTACATGAGAAAAAAGTGTAATCCTCACAGGGTTTTTTGGATCACCTTTGTGGCCTAGTAGACTGCCATTTCATTACTTATGTATTTGGTGCACTAAAATGGCTGCTGAGATGTCATTTGAAAATGAAATATAGAGAGTCAAAGAAAAGGCCAGCATCCGATCTAGGCATCTCATAGGGAGTTTTATGTCTTATAAGGATGTCCGTCAAGAAAAATTAAGACGGAATCCATCAGGAAATTGAGTAATTTTAATTTTGAGTGGACAAAAACCTTGTACCAGAATGTTTTATACAATATTGCATTCTTTTTTACATTTTTCAAGCTTAGGGCTATAGACGTAATTAGTTATCTGTAATAACACCAAATAAAATTTCTAATGTCAAATTTCACAAGAATTGTGAAGACACAGGTACAATTCTGAAAATTTCATGTGTAAGATATCTTTTTTGTGAAATTTGACAGTAATTTTCTCAGGTTCTCATGAGTAATTTTCTTTGGTGTTATTACAGATAACTAATTACATCTATGTCCCTTGGAAAACGTAAAAAAAGAATGTGATATTGTTTAAATTATTCTGGTAAAAGGTTTTTGTCCACTAAAAATTAAAATTACTCAATTTCCTGATGTATCCCGTCTAAAACTGTATTCAATACCACTTTAGTATCCTAGCTGTATTGGAACAAAGTATGCCATCAGGAGCCTATCATAGGCAGGTGCATTTCAACTTCTACCATTCGATCCTCCAAGGCACTTTTTCCTTACATTCAAATTGGTGGTCTTCACGTTGATTTCTTAGTTATACTTATTTATGTCACGCAGGCTCATGATTTAACTTAAATGCAAATTTGACTGTTTTATATTAGAAGTCTGAAAGTGAATTGATTGACCAAATGTAAGAAACCTCTGAAATGTCTATGGAGAATTTAGCTGACCAAAAGGGAATACACTGATCTTGAAGGGATTAGGAAATTTTATTTCATATTAATTGTAGTGAAACTTAAAAGTGACGATGTTCTTTGGCTCAGTTTAAAACTGTTATTGGCACTTGGCAAGAAGCTTTTATGTAGTTAGTCTCTCTGTGCTCTGCCTCCATCCCTCAGAACACGTCTTTATTTCTCCAAGAGCGGTTAACTCTCTCACTTCACCTGCATTAATCGCCTCTACTGCGACAAGACTTTCGTTGATATCTTTTCCGGGTACATTAGGCGTCACTGGAATCAAAGAAAATTACATTTGTTTCTAAAAATAAAGCGGGGTAATTTATGATTTAAACATCGGGTGCGAAAGTTACAAATTGTAAGTAAAAACATCCCAGAAATCTCCTTTCTAAATGTCTAAATTTGAATTCGAGTGCAAACCGATCATTACCTAACTAGGTCAAAGCTTGTTTGTGAACATTATATTTTACTTACAATAGATACTGTAGTGAAGCTTCTAATTTTGGAAATCTGCTCGTTGAGTTGAGCGCGTCCAGCGCGTGCGACATTAGAGAGTGTTTGTGGCCCATGAGACTAAGCAGACTAGCTGTTAACACCAGGGCCATTTTTTTGGTTTAGTGGGGAGATGGTAGTAGACGAAGGGTGTCTATTATCACTTACTGTAGCGGACTCTGAGGTTCCATGACTGTTTCTTTCTGACAGAGTAGATTGCTAGACAAATTACTCCAACAGCAACTATACTGGATATAACGATTGTTATAACAATGGCTTCTGTTCCTGTTAGATGAAAACACAAAAAGAAAGCGTAAATTCTCGATGACACTGACGAATTAAGGAAATTGAAAACCTTTACCATGCTTATAAGTTGAGGTGAGAGATTAAAGTTAAGTACCTAGGCCTGTGGTACTGCTTTGTCGTCTCTCGTCGCTTTCTCGATTTGGCTTCATCGAAAAATCTGAGAATAAGGCATGAATTTAAATTAGACAGTGCAAGTAAAGTAATCAAGAAAGGTAGTTTTGTTTTATAAGCGTCACCGAACTATTCTAATGCTTTTTTCCTCAAAGGTTTAAAGGTATCGCTAAGTTGTAGCTTTAGAACAACTTTCATAAAATGATTGCGAACGTTCGTATAACAACACTTAACAGGGGTTTAGGCGTACGTTTGATTACGTATAAACTATTGTTGCTTGCTCACTGTACTGCTGTATAAGGTCAGATATATTTGCCGCTATAATAAGCACTACGCTACTCTTGTAACCCTTACGAGCGAAGAGGAAATGTCTAATTTCAATTTGGGTTGGAATGTCAAGGCTTGTTAATTTCTTTGTCCGAGAACACTCTTTTTTCACAAAATGCTATCCTCGAACAACAGCGGCGGGTCAATAAGGAACCAAAATGAGAACTTTCCTGAACTTTTCTCATATCAAATAATTACCTTTAAAAGAAGAAGCGCCTTTATATACCTGAAAACGTTTTTGCGAAGTATTTTGCACTGATAGTACCGTTGCCTTTTGTGGTAAATGCAAGTATCTGGAAGCTATAGTTTGTACTGGGTCTCAACCCACCAATAGTTAAATGCGTTTCTTCTGCTGCAACCTTGATGCTGGCGGATCGTGACGTGTTGTGAACTTCATTATAAAACACTCTGTAACCAAGCACCATTCCATTGGTATGTTTCGGTGAGACTGGTCTCCAGTTAAGCTGCACGGCATTATTGCCTAAGCTAAACGCCGATATTTCTCTCGGAGGACGATCTGGGACTATAACAAAACAGTAAATACAGAAATATTAGCATTAGGTAACATTGGCTGAAGCCAGCTTGTTTCCTTCAGTAAAAGTACATGAAGAACATGCCGTATCACATTACAATATTTGAAAGCTAACCGTTTTCAGTCCAGTGCTAAAACATAATCACTACACATCAGAGTTTCCTGACTTTTTTATGTTCTCTCCATAACTGATGCTCTGCATTTTTGTTTGTTTGTTTTCAGCAATTCTACAAGGTTGCTGGGGTCCTTTTTTGGTATCGTTACGTTAAGAGAATAATGCAATGAGTAAACCTCATAAGGTGTCCAATTTGCCTCCACCCAACGTTGTCTAATGCTATACCCATACAGAAGTACGGATCTGCTGTAATATATCTATCAGCAAGGAATGATACACTCTAAATCAGAAAGATCTGTTTTAGCCCTAAAAACAGGGCCGTTTCGGTGAGTAAAATGCAGTCCTATTTTTGGGTCTAATTTGGCTCCCTTAAATCAGGGCCAATACAGTCCAATTAGCCAAGGCTGATTTGGTCCCAGTGCTGAAATGGTCCCTACCGTGGGCTGGAATAGCCTTTTGATTGAGCTTTTTTGGCCTAAATTGTGCTCAAATGGCTCCAGGAAGGGCTGAATTGACACTTTAGGGCTGAAACAGATCCTTTTAATTTTCAGTGTAGCCAGTTATTTAGCTTGGTCAAAACACTTAGCTGTAGTATCTTTGCATCCTAATCCTTAAGATTTGTCAAAGAATGCAGAAACTGCTTTTTTGCAAGTACACCATAAGAAAAGAAGTAGACTAAGAGTATAAACTGTCAAATTGTGGGAAAAAAATAAGCCTGTTGCACATTGGATATCGTCTAACGATCCTTTATCTACGAGCAGAACCCCTGCCCTAAAAGCTCCTAATAACAGAAACCCTAACTGAACCGCAGTCTTTTTTTTGACGAATGCCTTAGGTTTCCTCCACCCCTTTATCCATTGATTCAAGAACGCTTTCTACACTTTGCTACTTGATAAAAGACAGAAATTCTACTCCGATGTCGACCTCAGCTTCGTGGAATGGTGTCTCCGGTCAACCAATTTTTATTCTCCAAAACACATTTTATCGCTAGAAGGCAGTCAGTCGTCAGTCAGTCATTCAATAATTCAGTGAGATTTCAGAAAAAACAAATTCGTGAACAATTTTATCAGACATACCATCCTCATCAGTTGAAATCACCAGTTTTTTACTCCATGTACCATTTCCAAACCTGTCGTAAGCTCTCAGTCGACAGCTATAACTTGTAAATTTTCTCAGTCCTTTGAACATCCAATTAAGCTTTGCAGATGGCAAATTCACCGAATGTTCTTCTGTCGAGTTGAGCCTTAGGCAAGCCAAATGGAAGCCGAGCACTGTTCCATACCGAAGATATTTTGGAACTTGTCCCCAGGAGAGTTCAATACTTCTCGAGTTTAAGCTGTGACCTCGAAAGTTGGCTGGTGGGTCTAAGGGGGCTTTGTAATAGAGAGAATAAAAGAAAAATAAAGTGCCTGGCAGTCCAATATCGTGGATTGCGCTCAGAATCGAGGAGTGTAGTCAATAAGCAAAGGATAACATCCTGCAATGTGGTAATTCATGTGGCATTAACCTTTCTAACCAGTACATTTGTTAGTTAACTGCTGTCTTTCCCTTTTTTATTTCTTATTTTGTTAAGGCGGAGCAGTTAGGTAACATTGAGTCTGAGTAATATTTTATATTATACTGTGATTACGCAACAAAAATCATTTCAGCTGTACTGCCATGCATGCGGTACTTATTAAGAAAGCTGTAACTCTTCTGACAGCCTACAAGACTAGACTGATTATCTTAACAACGTTTTTAGTAAGAACAATTACAACACGGACTTTGTTAGACGGAACACTCACAGTAACACTGATTCCAACACTCAGACCAACTCTGGCCCTGTTACGACAGCGACTATACCGTACATCAGAGGCACCTCTGAAACTATTGCACGTCTATTACAACCTAATACAATATACTTGTTGCACACAAACCGATAACCACTTAACGGCGACTGCTTACTAATGTCAAGGACAAAGACAAGCTGGAGGACAGACAGGGAGCAGTAAACAAAATCAAATGCTGCTACAATAGATGGATCGAAACGCACCAATTACAGATTACGAGTCTTCACAGCCAATAACATCACGGCTTAACTGACAGACGACCAATAACATCGCGACGTAATTGTCCAATCAGATCAATAACCAGTGTATAATACCATCAACTGACGTGATACAACTCACTTTGAGTTTGAAGATGACTATACCGCACAGGCTGTCGAAACGTCAGTCACTGTCAACAACAACAGTCCTGTTCAGGACTACGTTCACAGACGGTACGTTAATTCATACTTTTGGGGCATGGAAAGGCTTCTTCCTGTGAAGTGGTTTCATTTCATTTCATATCCTATCAAATATTTGTGTAAGTTTTGGAATTCAGTAACGTACCTTCTATGGAACATTTAGGAACATCACAGTACTCCCACTGCACGGTCCTGTTGCTGATAAGACACCATGGGCCTTTCACACTAAGACCTCTTGGATTGCGGCAGGAATTGCTACCATTTTTTATCTCTTCGGATATCTGCTGTTTGACCGCCTGGTCAAGATGAGGGTGTGGTGCACTCCATGGCTGGCACGTGTAGCCTGATATAGTTGTGCTGGTTCTGCCCCGGTAGCCACGCCCGTCCCCGATGAAGCAATCTTTAAACAAGAAATTCGACAAATTCATTATTAAATAACCTATGAGACGAAAGTCTGTCACTACGACTTGGCCACGAAATTGAGCGCAACTTAGAAATACTCACTTAAACCATTGAGGGAAGGTTTGAATATCAACGCAGTAAAAATAACGAAGGCATGGATGAGCAAAATTGAAGAAGATTAAAATGGATTGCAATTGGGGTCTTTCAGTTCGGCCAAACTGTTTTCAAAGGTTATCTTTATTGTTTGTAAATTAAAATCTAACGCTCGGGATACATATTTGTTTACCATGAAGCTATGATTTTGTCATTTAGAAATAATTTCGTCGCTAACGTTAATTGCTTGGCGAGCAAGAGTAAGTAATTGGAAAAACGCTGTAAAATGAACTGGAATGCCGTGGAACAGCCTCTTGATTTAAGCGAAGAGATCGCGAGATGTAGAGGCAGAAGTTTCAGAAATAAAAGGAAATGAATACGATTATGCATTCGCTGCGTCTCAGAGTCACAATGGCAAGACCATAAAAAAGAAATAAGTCGAAATGCGACTTTGAAAATCCAACATAATTAAAGAGCTTGGAGCCTTGTTAAAGCCAAAATACTAATACGAGGAAGAAACTGACACAGAAATTTAAACAGAAACAGAAACCGGTCATGGTTGCTTTTAAGACAAAATGTTGTTAAATGTTGTTAAGTGTTGTCTAAGATGTGGACTTAAAGCAAAGCCGTAGTCATCAGTTTATGAAGAATTACAAAACCTGTAGCTATTTCTAACTATTCCATAATCCAAACGCATGCGCAAAAATTGAATAGGTATCAAGTCTTTGTTTTGATCTTAGGGAACATACATTATCGCGCAAACTTGTTCGATCGTGCCGAATCACTGCGACGTCGAGAAAAACAGAACCACTATAAGCATATACTACTCCACTATAAGCAGTCCGTTGATAAAAAGGGAAAGTAAACTCTGCTATTTTTCAAAAATATGCTCGAACACAAACAGTTCAAAAACATGGCATTTACAGGATCTAACTCGTACTAAGGTGCCTCTCTAAGTCCGTTGAGAACAATCTGGACGAGCAAACGGTCGTGTTTATCTTTGCCGTGAATCCAGATAAATACAAGAAGGAATCTAACCGAATTTTATAATGTTTCCTTTGCCAGCAGTTTAGTTTGGTCACGAAACTCATGGCCTGATGCTCTTGTAATCGTTTACCAAAAACGGCCGCCGCCAACTCGATAGCCGCTTCATTATATGTCCACATACTTTGAGCACAAGAAAAATCCAAGAGCCAGCAACCTCTAAAATAACTCAATAGAAAGGTTCTGTGAACTATAGGGAAGATTCCATCAAAGATTCCATCACTCATTGTGGAGTAGCCGTCATTAACTCTGCAATTACAACGGCCGCTGATAACGAAGAGGATACAGTAAATCCACGTAAAAACATTCCACAGGCAAACAATTTCAAAATAACGCCAAAAAAATATTCTGTAATCACCATAGAACGATTCTTAATACAAAACTTCGCTAACTGTCGAGCGATGGCTGAGATTTAGACAGATAAAAACAGCCTTCCAAAATCTTTGACAGAACTTGAAAAAGACGGGCCGACTTTTTCAAGTTTGTTTTCATTGGCTCGCGCATCCGTGTGGGGTGACATAGCACCTTTAAAGAATCCTCACATATCCGTTTATTTCTTTGTGATTATTTGATCACAAAACCCCTTGCTTCAGACCTATAACATTCACATATACTATGATGGCTTGGCAAATCAATATCCTAGAATTCAGTTATTTATCTAATTTATTTATCCATGTTTGAAAAGGGTAGATCATGAAAAGCTCTCCGGGAATCTAATACAGAAGCTATGTTCCAGTTCGTATTATTCTGACACATCCCAAGTATTCCAGTCGCTTCGTCCATATCAAGGTTCAAATCATCTAGTCTACAAGGGCTACCCAGTCAAACATTTTATTTTTCGTAAAGTAATTGAATTCGTCCATGTGCCCTGTGAAAGCGTACATTGAACTTACCTTTACTGGGAACATTAAGTTCTTCTGATTGAAAAAAGAGGGACAAAAAAGAAAGGATATTGTCAGTAAGAAATGTGCTCTTTCTTTCGTCAATAAACACACGTGTGCATATTGGTTATTATTATTTTCTTTTTATACTGGTGTGGCATGGGAAAGTGCGGATATGAATGGATACCTTTTTTCATTTTATATGGCGGAGCTCTCGCGCGCAGTGGAGCACCATGGGTAAAACATTTGGTTATCTATGCATCCACGAAATTTTGGTTATGACAAAATCACCCGTACGCCCTCCGCCCCTTCATGTTAGCGGATGTGAAATGCCAAAATAGTGTATCTACTGACCAGTGTCACACGACTGTGGGTTCAAGTGTTCAACTCATTGAAGTGACGTGTTTTGTAAAGTTCTCAGCTGACCAGTTATGGTATTTAAGAGATCGCAGGCGCAGAAAACAACCCAAGAAATACTATTCTGAAAAGTTTCAATGAGAGCTTCGCTTTTGACCTTGGCTAAACCTATATAATATCCATTAACCTCCTCCAAATTTTGTGTTAAGCACCAACCAAACTAGGCAAAAGGCTTGAACAAAAGCATTTTGCGTGGAGATTTCCTCTTCAAATAAAAAGGGATTAAAAGGTTCCGATTTGTGCAGAGCAAAGTTTCAATCAAATCAGCACTGATAATATTCGCTTTTCTTGTCGTTTACACTCGTTTTGGATTTGGTACAGTTGGTCCCTTGCTTTACTCATTTAGCAAAACAAGGTTTAACGTCGACTGGTGTGAAGCCACTCTAAAAGCCGTTTAATCAGAAGTTATTTTAAACCTTCATGCTTTGGCTTTAAAATTATAATAATAAGAAGACGAATTCCGTTATTCATCCTCGGCAGTATTTATAGCACTAGTGCTAGTGGCGCCGATCGAATTCCTTCGGAAACAAATAATTCAAATTGAACTTAACAGGGTTAAGAATCCCAACTGGTCGGAGGCAAACCAGTTTACTATTTACAAGCATGACCCATGATTTAAACTCGGGACTGCCGAGAACAAATCCAGCTAGCGATCAGAACGGAACTTGAACCTCGGGGCCTCAGAATCGCACGCCCAAAGCTCTGACCACTCGGCCACGCTGCCTCCTCTAAAAAATAAACGTAAGGTAAGGTTGTTCGTTTCATGTGTATTTCTAACCTTCGGTCCTGTTAGCGGGGTCGTAGCAGATACTTGATCCTTTTCGAGATGGCAGATCTGCGCAGTCTATGATGTGAAACTTGTGTGTTCCCTTACGGTTTAAATGATCTGCCTTTTCGAACTCCGGATCACAATGTTCAGATTTTAATTTCTCACATGCTTCTCTGCAAACACGCTGAACCGTAAAATCAATGTAACACCGTTGAAAGTAATGATGACAGTATATATCGTTGATCTGATTGAGGCAGCTTTGGCGTGGTCGATGCTGTTGCTTGGAATATCTAATCAACCAGCCAAACATCTCCAATCTCTCTTCTTTGTCACGGAGCTCCAAAATGGTTCCCTTAACTGGCACATTACCGATCACACTTTTGCAGTAACCACCGTTTTTGAATAGGGATTGATTGATGCCATATGGAATGCACGATGAAATGTGATGGAAAGAGCTGAGATAAAATAGTGATAAAACGTTGTATTAATTAAAAGTAAGTGGTCTTTAAACGGACCCGTTTCTCCTTTGTCCTCGATCCGATTGGAATGGAATTTTATAGATCTAGTTTAGGCAACCTTATTAAACAGGGTGTTTTGTATTAGCAGAACGTTGTTCCAAGATGACGTATGAACTTTCAGTTCCAATAATTAAGAATATAGCCTGAATGAAATCACAAGAGTTTCATTGCGAACGCGTTAATGGTACCGGCCCAGGCATTGTATAAAATTCCAATGAGAAAGCCCTAATTTGCACAAGAAAGCAAAAACCCGAAGGATTCTGATCGTAGCAGTAAAATGACGCCATCATGCAAATGGCCTATTGAGTAGTGAACATAATACTGATACTGTAAAGCTGAACAGGCGTTGGGTTTGCTAAATCATAGACTGTTCTTCCGGCTGAGTTATGCGACTAAAGATGCGACAATCGTAAGATTAAGAGTATTTAGAATGTATAGTTGTTACAGATTCTTACTTGTTTTCGCTGTTATTTCTTGGGATGTTATTAATTCCAGCTTCTAAAACATCAGAAAATAGACAGTATCGCTCGGTTTGTCATTATTTGTATACATATAATGTCTGAATAAGTACGTTATTGACATGCTTGTACAAGAATAGTGGTGTAGTTACTGACTAGGTCATACCTGATGAAATAACAGAGAATGAAATCACGGCGAGAACCACAGTCAACAGGATAGAAATCATGGCGCAAGGGACTTTACGGCTCCGTGCAGTTTTTTGCCTTTTAAAACTGTGCCTTCTTTTCAGCACATACTTTTAGCTTCAGCAAGCGTTTCTAGAGCATCGAGTAATATTCTATGCAATTCCTTTCAGCTATTGTTTCGTCGTTGCCAGAAAGAGAGTTTTGTTAGTTGGCACTACCTTTTTTCTCCCGCCATTCACAATTATTACAGATCAAGCCAGAAGGGAGGAATAAGAAAAAAAGCTGAAACACGTATCGACTGACGAATGGCATTGCTGAAGCTATACTGAATTTCTGATAAAGATCAGCTGGAATCAGCCTATTTGATGTCGCGTGAACAAATGAAATATTGTTACCAAGTGGTTTTGCAAACAGCTGTCAGTAAGCTTGTTTTGCATATTGACTCTTCCGAGTTCCCGAATTCGCAATTAGTTGTATTTATTTCCTGAAAACAATATAACCCGCCTAGATTAGCATATCTACCCGCGGACATGTTAAAATAGTATTTCAATCTTGAAACCAAATAAAATGTATGTATGTGTCTGTATGGGAAAATGTGCCTTTTTTGGAAAACTCCTTTTTGTTGTTTTTAAGTTAACGTTTATTAAGTTGCAATTTTTGCAATATCTATATTGTTATCAAAGCTCAGTAACGAAGGGTTTTGTAGAACGCTGGCAATTTGCTCAGCTGTTGTTTCCTAGCTGCCAGAGAGCGGTTACTCTCCAGGGGCACCCAACGAGAATATAGTTAAAAACCACTTAAACTTAGCATTGTTGAACGTATTTTAGTATTTTTATCCCCTAATAATATTTCATCTGTTCGGATTTCCTAGCTGAAAGTCTAGTGATCCGAAAATTATAGGGATCAAAACTTACCTTTTCGAAAAATTTCAGCCCGAAAAAAGGCCCCCGAAAATTCTAGGTGACCTTTTTAGGGTAAAAATCCGTTGAAAAAGGGCAATTATACCATTTTTGAGGGGTTCGAAAATCCTAGGAGAGGGAAGCAACCAAGAAATTTTACAACAAATGTTCCGAAAATTCTAGATCTCAAATCGTCTTCCGAACATATATTTTCCAAAAATTGTCGTTGGGTGCCCCTGACTCTCGGCTCTGTCTCTTATTTCGGATTGATGAGGCCAAAGAAGAGAGATGGATGAAGTAACATTTTAGTGGGAAAAAAACGTGTTCGCGCTCAATAAATACAGAAGTGACTGCATGACTTATCGTGAAAAACCAAAATAACCCTCACAGCAAGGAAGATATTGGAATATAATTTAAGATTCAAAAAGTAACACGAAACTTTAACTTCACCAGGGCCGAACTCCCTTGTCAATGGGACGGGGATACCGTATGTACTCGAATAAGTCCAGCTTATTCTCAGCAACCGGAAGGTGCATATTTTTAATGAGATTGGTCTTTTAAAATATCTGCTATTTATTCTCATTTAACTGATAAGAAGGGGCAAATAGGCCTTAAACGTTACCTTTTGTTACGTTTCTTTCGCTGTTCTTATCGTTTTTTAACATAAAGCTACGTGCAAACTGAGGCAACAACTCCAAACGCTTAACATTGTTGGGCCAACAATGTTGGGAGTTGTTGCGTCCGTCAGTGACAGAGGTGTGCAAACGGATGCAATATCTCACAACAATAGTGAGACCAGCAGTGCATCGTAGGGAGGATACAACCCATAAGAGTTTGGAGACCATGTATCGGCGATCAAGAAACAAAAGAAATGTTGGGAGCTGAAAGTTTGACTGATTTCAAACTTTGCGCAACAACTCCAACAACACGCAACGACATGCAACAACATACAACAGGGCCTGTACAAGCGAACGCAACATGTAACATCCAACAATGTTGGGACGTTGTTGGCCAACAATGTTGCGTCCGTTTGTACGGGGCTTAACGACACAATGGAAAAGAAAAGCAAAATATGTGGTGCGGTGCCCTTCCTCCGAGTAACCGCCGCATCCGAGTCAATATAGTGCTTGTAAGGAAAATGGACTCAAACCCAGATGGTGTACCTACTTAATGACGTAATTTGAAAAGATTAAAGATGAGATACACTGAACGATGTCCACGTATCTCACAACAGAATACTCAACCATCAAAGTTTTTCTAGCGATTTTAAAACTCAAAAAAAGCGGAATGACACTTAAAGTAAAACTTCTCAAAATTTCTAAGCATGGTAGACATGGTAGGGGGGCACCCAACGTCGATTTTCGGGAAATATCTGTTCGGAAGACCATTTGAGATCTAGAATTTTTCGGAACATTTTTGTAAAATTTCTTACATGCTTGCCTGCCTCTTCTAGGATTTTCGAACATCTAAAAAAATGGTATAATTGCCCATTTTTAATGGATTTTTACTTTATAAAGGTCACCTAGAATTTTCCGGAGCCTTTTTTTTGGCAGAAATTTTTGAAAAGATAAGTTTTGATCCCTATGATTTTCGGATCACTAGACTTTCAGCTAGGAAATCCGAACAGATGAAAAATTTTTAGGGAATAAAAATATGCCTGTGTCTACCGTTTAAATACTAAAATACGTTTACCAATGCTACGTTTAAGTGGTTTTGAACTATATTCTCGTAGGGGGCCCCTGATGGCACTGTAGGCGAAAGTTGTCAAGTACAATTTGGCGAAATAATTCTAGCTCGCTCTATTCATTGGGCAACGTGATTAAACGGGCTTGAGCACGTGTACTAAAGACATGTCGATGTCCACAGGAAAAGATTATTGTTCAGTGATTTATAGTTTTAATTTATACATTCTTGTTATAAGCAAGATCTTAACAACGTTTTGAAAAGCTTAGATCTACTTCATTAATAAGAAAAGGATTCTGTGCTCCGATACATGCAGATACGTGTCCAAATTTAAACTTCTACGAAACTTGTGGGAAGACGTGCAATTTACATTTAAATAGTCTAAATAACTACTGCTTGTAAATGATAACAACTAAGGGGGTGTTTTCAGCGAGTTCACTCCGGTTCCCTCTTATGGCTCTACATTTGTTTACATGTCATCACTCGCGAGTCACCCCGGCGTGAGTTCACCCCGGTTGTTGTACCGGGGCAGGAACTTCACTCCGGTATGAAATCTCGCAACGGTATCATATAAGCGCGAAACGACCACACGTTTCGGTGTGAAATCGGTCTGCCAGTAGACCATTCTCGTCTCCAGAGCCACTCGGCTTAATTTGTAACCGACCCCTCGTTTCCTGACCACGTGACCAAGAAACGACGGACTCTGGGGAAGAGAATGCCGGTAGACTGGAAAGGGAAGCGCATGCGTAATGTTTGCGATTTTGAATCACGCGTGTATTTTATCAACATGAAGTGTACCTTCAAAATGACCCAGTCATAATGTAAACGCGATACGAAATCAAAAAGTCATCCCGGTATGAAACTCGCGCCGGTGCGAGTTTTCTCATGTAAACATGCACCCCCTAATGATTAACGTTAGATTTTTAAAAAGGCACTCCAACCAGGTCAAAACTTACTTAATAAGATATTGCTGTCTAATAATGAAGCATTACTTAAAAAAAGCAAAGATGTAAGAATGTTATCACTACTTATGAGTGAAAAATAAATTTGTAAAGATTATTGCCACCTTAGATTGTGCCGGCTTTGAAGCATGAGGATAAACTAAGAGTATTTGAATTGTATATGGCTCTAAAGTCGATCTATCACGATTGAAACCACTGTGGTCAGTAATGTTAAAAAGGTTGATTCATAAGTTCTTGTCCCACACACATTTTTGCACGGCTCATACTGTGCTTTCATCTTCTGAATGAATCCTCATTTCTCTGAGTGAAATAAATTCCCTCACTTCACCCAGGTCAACCGAGAAACGACGGCGATGAAAATTCGTTGAATAAGAATGTTCTGCAACGCCCATCTTTATCATCTCCTTACTGCAAACATCACGTTCAGAAGCCCGCATAAACTCTCGTAGCTCACTCAAATCGATAGAGTGGTTGTTGTTGTCTCTTAAAGTCTCCGTAGTAGTAAATCCTGGGGGAACGTTGAGGCTGTCGTTATTCTGTTGGTGCAAAGCATTGTAGTAAGGTAGCCCTCTGTCTAGCTTATCGTATTTGGGTTTGCCATCTTTCTCTGCGATTTGTTCAAGGGATCTTCGTTTTCTGCAAAAATAAACATACCTCCATAACATTATGACTGATTAGTGATGTCAGATTTTTTGTACCAGTCAGGGATTATTGTTCGCAGAGGCTTTGGCATTTCCTTTATATCTAGGAAACAAAGGTGCATGGTTCTCATTTTGCCGAAATTCCGATAGAAGGCTTCGTTTCACTTTCGACAATGGTCCCCTTTGACCCATCTAACTCGATCCTTCAGATATGTTCTGATCGAATAGTAAGGGACCATTTCATTCTCAGAATTTCTTTTTTTAAGTCTCATTTTACCGGAGAGTAACCAAAACGTCCGACCACTCAAGAATGATCAGGGTAGAATCCATGAAAAACTGGTCAGTGCTATAGATCAGACAGTGTCCTTGAGGAGGTCTGATGCGCACAAGTTGGATCGTGATATTTGTTCCACTTTCTTGTACCGAAACCTTAACTTTGTTATCTATTGTATTTGGTACTAATCTATGTACCTGCCTCGATTAGCTATTGCTATTTGCTGGTAGATCCTTTTCCGATTTTAATTCAAACCGCAAAAAGATTGTTGTTGTTGTTGTTGTTGTTGTTGTTGTCGGATCCATTTTACTTTGGATAGTCTGCCTGGCCGGTCTTTTCCTTATGACAAAACCCGCCCATAACTGAAAATCTCAAAACAAAAGCTGCAACACGACTTTCCTTATCACCTAATTTTAAGAAGTTATCTTGCGGCAAACGGGTATCCTTATTATATATTGTACTAACCTTTGAAGCCTTTTGTAGCGCGTGTTTTCATACGCTTGTTCAAACTCAATTACGATGTCCCTCAAGAACGGAGGAATGTTTAGGGAGCCATCAGGAGCAATGTTGATGTAGGGATGGCGACGAGGTGTGGTGGGAACATTTTCATCATCAAGTGTTTCGTATCCGTGTCTATTAGCAATGATTCTATCAATCCAGTCCGGTGGTGATGTAGCGTATGGTGTTATAGTAGGAATTAAATCTGCAAAAGCAAATGTTAATTTACTAATGGCAGAAATAAGTCAATAGCCTGAATTTCAGACGATTACTTCGAGTAGTTTTTACTCCCTCAGTTACTCAGGGAGTAAGAACGACTCGAAGTAATCGTATGAAATTCAGGCTGACAAGTCAAACCATAAGAAGTTTTAAGTAAATTTGAATGAAAAGTCAGCGTGAATGGTTATTTGTGATGAACAATCTGCGTGCGCCTATTAACATCATATTTCTGTCAAATACGACAGTAAAATCGGGTTATTGAGATCTAAAATTAGAACAGCAAACAGTCAGACAATTAAGAAAATCTGAAAATGTAAGTAGTAATCGGAAAAATCTAAAGAGTACAGAAATTGTAACAGAAATTAGGTGTATTAAAGCGCCCTTATGAAGCCAAAGGTGTCTCTTAGCTCCATAGCTTGGCTCCAAATCATATCACTTACAATTTCTATCAAAATCTACTTACTATTTCTGTCGTTAAAGGTCAGGAACCCTCTCTTCTTGGCGAAATGGATTGCAAGGAAAACCGCTCCGAGAGCAAATATACCAGGTACGACGCTTGCTGCTACTGTAGCTCCAGTTCCTGTCACACGAAATATATGTAAGAAAAATCATCTTTGAGTCGACTGCCGGGGAGAATTCAAACTGAAAGATATGTTTTTGGCACAACTTGCAGTCAAATTTCTAAGCTTGGGATACCTAGCCCTGTTGTCCTGCTTGGTGATCTGTAGTCGTTGGCAATCTGTCTGAGTTCTGTGAAAAAAGCATGCACCAGAGTTATAGAGTTATCATTTATTCATATTTGAATATGGCATTTCTGAGTTTTAAACCCGGTGTTGGGTTTGCTATATTTGAAGATGTAAGTATGTGGTTCTATACCTGAAGAGGTTCTAGCAAAGTAGCTTGCACTGATGGCACCGTTGCCCTTAGAGGTGAAAGCAAGCATCTGGAAGCTGTAATTTGTACCAGCTCTCAATCCGTTAATTATTAAATTAGTTTCTTTTGGTCCAGCTACGGTACTGTTAGCTCGTGACTTGTTTTGAACATCACTGTAGAACACTCGGTACCCAAGAACCTTTCCATTGGTATTTTTCGGAGAGACTGGGTTCCATTTAAGTTGAACCACATTCTTCTCCAGGGCTTTTGCTGTTATCTCACTTGGAGGGCGGTCTGGAACTAGAATAGTGGTACCGAGTTACTCCAAAGCATTGCTATCGATTTTAAATTTGTACAATCTGAATATTTTAATGACAAAGTCTGAATTAGTACTGCCAATGTATTGTAGATATTACTGACGTTAAAAACATGAAAACGAAAGACCATATCATGCCGTTAGTTAACGGATGGCAGCACATTTCCTTAATTGGCGTTTGTGCAACCAGTGTATTTAACGCAAGTCAGGGCATGTCGGTAGACTCATGCTTTTTTCTTTATGTGGTAATAAAAACGCATCAAATAGTCCACATCCCCATAGGCGTTTTAACATCGTTGAGGCTAGGCCATAAGGAAACGTACGGACGTGTTTTACTTCCTTAAATCATGCGCGCGACAATCATCACAAAATCAACCCAAGCGATCCCTTCAGGTATCTTCTGTGTTATGTCATTCCTAACGATTTCATACTCGCGGAACGTCATCGTTACCCAACGATTCCTTGCGGTCCCTGTTTTAGAAACCGAGATTTTTCCTAGTATGGTGACTGCATGTTTCAACTGTAAGTACTTTCCAAAATATCTGAGTGGCTCAATTTTATCCTAAGTTTAAATTTTATTTCCTTTTTGTTTTTGGGAATGGTAATGTATAATAATGAGTTTGCAACAACAGAAAATAAAATTTAAAGCAAGGATAAAATTGAACTATAACATATGCGGGCGATTTACTAAAATTCCTCCTCGCCTTCTGGGTGGAATCCCCGCGAGGGAAATTACCATTATCATTATTTTTAATTATTATTGATTAATATTATTATTAATCTTACCATCCTCGTCTGTTCGCACAGTTAAAACACCAGGTGGTCCCCTCCCTCGTCGAGTCACTCCGTACACACTGACCACATAGAGGGAGTATTTTTTAAGTCCGCCTAATTCTATTGATCTTATTGTCGTATAGTTAACCGTTGAATTCCATTCCCTCCTTTGTTGTTCTAGCCTTGCTTCCACTTGGTATCCCAGCATTTCTCCATTACGTTTTCCGACGGGGATTGGGTTCCACTGCACCTGAAGACTAGTGGAACTGATATTCCATCCCTCCAAGCTCTCAGGCGCCGCACTGGGAACTAAAATGATCCAATAACATATTTTTTCTATTAATATTTTATACAGTATTTAAGTGGCACTGATGAAGGGAGCGCTTCATGGGAGTCTAAACAGATGCTATTATAAATGATTTAAGATTACTTACTTTAACTTTGAGTTGGTGTGCTTTTGAATTCTACAATCAGTCGGTGCGAGGTCTGGGACAGAGAAATCTCCGGAAATAGCTCGGTATCTCTAAGCTACAGATCTTCCAAGGATTTTTGGAATATCCGACTATCGCAGGCCCCCTAAATACTGTTTTTCTGTCCCAGACCTCACACCTGGTCCAAAACTCAGAATCACCCACGCAGTCATAAAGTAATCAGAATAGTTATTCATTTATTATTATCTAATCGGACTTGAGAGCCCGCTGTCAGTCTATTCCACTTTGTCTAGTACTAATGCCAATTACTCGCCCTTCTAACTATGGAACTTACAAATTGAATTAACCATAGAATTTACAAGAATTTCTGGGTGGGGATGTGCCGCTGGGAGCCTGGAACCCTTAACCTTTACCAGAGCTAGTTCAGCTGAATTTTGCTACCCTATACTAGAGTAAACTCCCCAAATCCCCCTATCCTAGAGTAGCTGTGTACCTAGTTTAGATAAAATCTTCAACCAACTGATCAGTTTCCTGAAAAATGATACCCTATTCTAGAGCCAAACGCTCCGATTTATATACCCTATCCTAGAGTAAACTGCTTGAAAACCATACCCTTCACAGCGGCACATACCTATATAGCCCATATATGGCAGGACCCCCCCCCCCCCCCCCCCGGCATAAAGGACACTGAATGAAAAAAATATATCTGTTTCACCGACCAATCCTTGTCCACATCGGATTTAGCAGTTCCGAGGGAGTCTGAAGCATAAATCCTGATCAGGATCATCTCAAAGGAACGCACCCTAAATCAAGTCAGTAAGTCATTTAGATCTTTGCAGAACAACATACCCATCGACTATTAACATACCATCTTCGTCAGTTGAAATCACCAGCTTTTTACTCCATGTACCATTTCCAAAAGTATTGTATGCTCTCAGTCGACAGCTATAATTGGTGAACTTTTCCAGTCCTTTGAACTCCCAACTATGAAATCCAGATTTGATGTTCGCAGAATGTTTGTCAGTTGAGTTGGGCCTCTCACATACTACATGGAATCCAAGAAGTACTCCATTTCTGGAAGGTTTTGGAACATTTCCCCATAAAACTTTAACTGCAGTTGAGCTCAAGTTGTGACCTTGATAGTCGTTTGGTGGGCTTGAAGGAGCTATATAATCAGAATTTAAGAAAGAAAGCTGTAAGGGGAGTTTTTATGCGTTGCGACGAGGATAGAACACGTATTTTTGCATGCAAACGGAGCCCATTTTATTGCCCTCTCCATATTTGCGCAAAATTATTGTCCTTCGTACCCAACATAATCAATCAAATAATTAATATTTATATCAGTGTTGTCTTTTTATCGAGTTCATGTTAAAGGAGCGTTAAACGGTGAGCCGAGAGTATTTCGTTTATGTAACATGTTATCATTACCACTTTCGCTCTCACTGCCACTACCAATAATTTTTCATAAACCACGATGTACTCTTTCTTTTTTGGCCAACGTAAACAATTTTTGCGTCCGGTTAGTATATATTATCCTCCCTGTGTTATCAAGTTGTCATTTACGTAGCCACAACAGTTTATGCGCTTTGAAAGTAAAAGCGTTTGAACTCTTTTCGCTTCACACTTAATGTTAGTAAATAAGGTCCTAGCTGGGAAGATTGTTTATACAGTTAACTCTGTCTAAAGGTGATGTTACACTGGACGATTCGCAACGACGGTTTTTAGCGTAACACAGCAACACAGCAAGCCTGAATTTTTTTCAGGCTCCTCTTTTCCTCAACTGCAAAAGTTGCGTATATAACTGCGGTGATCTTCCTTCATGTAATTCTTCACTCCGCAGTTCACATATATGATTTTCATAACTTCACAGCGTTGCAATGTTGGAACAATGTTGCAACGCTTTGTTGCGCTAGAAATCGTCGTTGCGAATCGTCTCCTGTAACATCACCTTAAGACGGCTTCATTTGGGATCGGTACCATTTGTCCGTTTCAAGGAGATGCCCGTCTACTCGTGTGAAGTCGTCGACTGTACGATTAATCTTGTTCAAAATTATTACATCTCCGTTATTTTTGTCATTGGAATTGTGCAGTGAAATTCAAGCGTAAGCGAAAAGGAAGCGATACCGCTCTTGGCATGAAAAGCCGGAATATTTCGCGCGGCGGGCAATCCAAAAACGCGCGGAATACGACAACTGTAATTCAGTTTTGCTTGCATAGTTATAGTGACCGTCATTGAAAAACTTAGAAACTACGTAGTAAGTCAGTATACTTACGTTGTTTGGGACATCCAGGAACATTACAATGCTCCCATTTCACGATACCTTCATCGACAAAGTAGCACCAAGGCTTGCGGGAGCTTAAACCCCCTGGATTGCGGCAGAAATTACTACTATATCTTATTTCATCGTAAATACTTTCATTGAGTTTACTTTTATCAGGTCTATGTGTATCCCAAGACAGGCAGGGCTTGCCCACTTGGTTGTGTTTATGTTACCACGGTAGCCACGCCCATTTCCATAGAAACAGTCTGCAACAATACATTATAAAAACTTATGAATTATCCATGGAAGATGTGACCAGATACATCACAGGGTCCAGATGAGTTCGGTTTGTCGTGGGAACGTCCAAAACTCTATTTCAAAAACCCATTCACAGTTCATAATAGTTATTTCGATTATCCTGTCATTGTGTTACATTTCCCCTACGAAACATGGGCCAAGATGGGCTTACAGTATATACAATGTACAGCAAGAGAGGAAAAAAATTTGGGGCTATTCTGTGAATCCTTGTAGCTCTACTGAAATTCAATAAAACGATCTGATTTTAACTACCACGTCCTTAAAGGACTTGAGACGATAAGTTGGGCTTACAGTATATAAACAGTATACAGAAAAAGAGGAAATAAATTTGGGGCTATTCTGTGAATCCTTGTTGCTCTACTGAAATTCAGTAAAATCACCTTATCTTTAACTACCAGATTTAAATGCATTTGCTAAATTCTCTGTCTTTAGTTTTGCTTTGCACTTCGCTCCTCGTTCGGAAAGCTTCGCCTTCCACCGTTGCCCTTCGGGCACTCGAGCCCACGAAGAAACAGCTACAAGCCTGGTGAAAACTCTTGGGACGCTAACGTAAAATCTCTTCAAATTAGGCATCTTCCCTTCCCCCTTCCCCTGGTGCAGTGTTAACGTTATGCATTCAATTTTTAATTCAACACAATCAACACTGCTGGGGGTAGAGGGGGACAGCGGAAATAGTCCCTCATAACAACATCTTAAAGCTTTTTTAAGAGGTAGAATATGAATTAATTTAGCAAAGTGTGTCTTCAATTGTGCATAATTTCTTTAAGTGTCCCAAGATGTTTTGACCAAGGTTGTGGCTGTTTTATACTTTTCAAAATAGCAGTTTTTATCTTTTTGTGTATAACGCGTTGGAAATCTGTTCGAAATTTAGTCCATAAAGATCCCACTGCGCTTATTATTTGGATTTACCGACGAAGATTTATATATCTGTGTGATTTTACTAAACGGTGCCTGCTAAGTTTTTGCCTGAACACGGTCATCGCCCGTCATCAAGCCAGGGTAGCCGAGAAAAAAAAAAAAAAAAGGCAAACAAAGGGGGCCCTTGGCGGCTTGGAAGGGGGGGGGGCGGAGGGCAGGGCCAGACCTTATTTGTTGTTTCTGAGGAGGATTATAGAGTAGGAGGAAAGGGGTGCGAAGCGGCAACATAAACACCTTGCTTCCAGTTTCTCGTTCAATAAAAACAACAAAAAAACATGCCGAGAAAAAAAAAAAAAACAGACAAACAAAGAGGGCACTTGGCGTCTTGCTAGGCGTCAGCAGAAAGCCCAGGCCCAGACCTAACTGTTGGTTGCTGGCTGGCTTTTTTGTGTTAAAAGTAGGGGGTAGGGAGGGGAAATTTTGACCCTTTGTTTAGAGTTTCAAGTCAGAAAGCAGTGCAAAGTCAAGGAATATTCCCTGTGGGCTAGCCCAGCCAAATCAGTGCTCTGACTCAGAATCGTAATGCTTCTTGCAGAGCTTGGGGGGAGTGATTGAGTGAGTTATAAGTGTCATGGGTGGGAAAGGTGAGTTTTTGCTTCTTAGACTTGGCTAGTATCTGGAGACTTATTGCAGGCACCTTGTATCAAATCTAGTCAGATATACGGTAAGACGTCAATAAATTATCCGTATGTTCAAACTGAACAGCTCTAGACCTTGTGTGTAATGATAATCTGTTTTCGTACATTCTTATTCCTAAGAAAATCGCAAACTGGCTAAACATGCAGAAGTGCTTAACGGAACAGACTATTAAAACAAAGATTCAGTTAAACATGAAGATGATGTGAACTGCGAAAATACAAAACAACTTCATTTTAAAAAAGTTATTTAAGATTTCTTTTCGATTATAACGTCAAAAAAGAAATTTGTCTGTTGGAATCAGTTTTTCCTACCTTTAGTCACAAGGACGTCAAGTTTTTCTAATGGGAAATAAAACAGAAGAGGATAATTAATTGATTAATATTTACTTTTGAATGTTTGATAACTAGTGAGAGAATTTCAGATTGCATCCTTCTATTTTGACTCCACTGCACAGCAGCAACAGGCAGAATGAAAAGGCAAATAAGTTTATTTTGGGACGGCTTGGAGAGAACCAACCCTGCAAAGTACGTATGTAAACACAGCAATAGGTAAGTAACTAATGTACAACACTCGTAAACTAGCTTTCACAAAACGAAAGAACTGCTACAACTGGTCGAACTCGACCTGAATCCCCAATAAAGCAAGCTGGCTTAGTGCCAGTTCGGTCGCCAGTTAGGCTGGGCAAAACGTAATAAAATTCTGATCAACGGATAACTGAGACAGGGAACACTGCAGAAGCACAGATGCTAGGCGCCGGAAAAACTGAGTGAACAAATGGCTAACGACGTCAAACTAGACTTTTGTCGCCGCTTGGAGAGCGGTTCCGGGACAGCTGACCTAAGCATACATAGAAACCAAATATATTAAGTATAGGAGCAGGTGTAAAACTGCGATAACCATAAAAGTACATAAGATAAGAAACGGGAAGAAAGCTAAAAACTAGCAGAGCTGAGCTACCGCTTACAACAGAAATAAACCTACCCAAAAAAAGCCCGAAGGGAAAAAATACGGGCAGGAAATCTGGGTACGAACCAAGGCTCAGGCTCAAAGCTCTTCCTACGGGACTTTACAACGTAATCGAGAATAGGCTGCTCCTAAAATAAAACAAAAATTTAAGAAAAACCAAAGAGAGGTTGTTTCAGAAGCCCAGATGACGTATGTACTGTCGCAATTTGTAATAAAAAAGCTGTCGCAATTTGTGATTACTGTCCATCCCACTTTGTAATAAACTAAGAATACAAATGTACTGTCGCAATTTGTAGTAATCATCGCACTTTGTAATACCTGTCGCAGTTTGTAATAAATTCATCGCACTTTGTAATACCTGTCGCAATTTGTAATAAACCGTGTCGCACTTTGTAATAAAAAAGCTGTCGCAATTTGTCCAACATGTCCATCGCGCTTTGTAATAAACTAAGCTGTCGCAATTTGTAATAATTCCATCGTACTTTGTAATATTTTTTGAGAGTGATTCAACTTACTCCGTCAACATTAATATAATGCCAAAATATGAATGGTACTTCATAAACAAAGGTGATGACGTCTGCAAGCACGTAAACTACAATTTATTGCTTATATATAATTTACAAAGTATCTCCGCTGAAATGGCTTTTGCGTTTGGTAGGATTCTAACTATTGTGTCCAAAAATCTGCTATTGTCTGGATTTCATTTCTTTTATCGATCCTTTACTTAGCTGAAGACGAGAAAAATTGTCCAAAATTGTTCTTGTATGGAAGCCCAAATTTTCAAATAGCTAAGCAATGTTTAATATTGGCTTTCGGCCGCCAATATTAGCTGGTGCTGACTAATTTGAGGTTTACAAATATTACTATCATTACTGATAAATTACAATTTACAAGTAGTCTCTTTCTCTACCCACCTTGGTCATGGT